AGATGGCGCGATGGTTGCCTTCCCTGATCTATACTAGCGGCTCGGAAATGCTAGTAGATGTAAAGGATGGGGTATCGGTCATCCTCCCGGAAAATGGGACGTGGGCGGACCTTGAACCAGTGTATCAAACGGTAATGCTGGAAGGAAAGGATGCTTTCCTTTGGATAGAAACCATATGGACTAATGTCAGCTTGACGAGGTTGTCACCAACTTTAATGGATTTGGAATTCCGAGGGACAGTGGAAGCCCGGGGGTGGGTCTACTTGTCGCAAGATGGGGAGAAAGCTATGATCATAGAGTTGGCACTCGGGAATATGCCGGACGAGTTGTTTAGGAAGGAGGAAGCAGAGGTTGTGTGGGCTGCATGTCAATGGAGGGAAATGGAAATGGAAATGGTAGACGTACCGGTGGAACTTCGGGATAGAGGAAGCATGAGGCGACCCGTAAGAACCATGCGATGTGTGCTGCCCCCTTTCCTAGTGGATGCGGTTTTCGGAACCCGGAGCAAGCTAGTACGGATATGCCAGTCCATGACGAACCTCGGGCTATACCAATCCGCTAGGCAAGATTTTTTTCGGTTATTAGTAGAGATGGGGCTGTTCTAGGGGAATTGGGCGGAGGAGCTAACCGAGATACTAAATTGCCTTAGCATAGACAATATCTTTGTCCCTAGCGCTGTGCATTGGGGGATAGTCTACAAGAATGTGGCAATAGGGGAAACGTTTCTAGATGGGGTAAGGGAGTTGGTTTACGACGAGGAGGACGGCTTCAGTGATAAAGATGAAGATGAAGAGATAGAGGACTGGGACTTCTAAGAGGGGTAGGGTGACTTAACTTAGGAAGGACGGGTGGCCTGGTATTGTGCAGGAAAGGGAAAGATGACTAGAGAAGAAAGGATGATCGAATACACCTTCAAAGGTTGGGAATCACGGCGACTCAGAGGAGGAATAGAAATGCCTATACCAACAGGAAACGGATGGAGGGGGACCACGTGCGCCTGGATTGGGTTTGAGGTTGACCGGGACTTGTCATATCTATGGATATAGCGGATTTGGAACCCGATAAGGGAAGAGGAAGGTTGGGATGATATAGCAGAAGGCAAGGTAGAGTCAATCGGAACAATTGTCCTTTCCAAGGATGGGTGGCGCACCTGTTTTGCACTATGTTAGCAATGGAACAAGACCCGATGTGGCTTCTAGGGGATGCGGAGGCCCGAACCTCGAAAAGAAGGCAAGCGGTTCGCCAACGAGGGATGGGACGAAGTTAGTAGCAGAGTTGTGATGGGAGGATGGAAGGAACTTAAGCCTCCGAGTCTACGAATAACGGCTTGGGTACCGGAGTTCATAGCCGAGTGGTTTGGAGGGTTTGAACACATTTTGGAAGTAGCCGACTCCATGAGAATGGTGCATATAGAGTGTGTCTGGCTGACTGAGGAGTTCCATAGGCTCTCATTGAAATATGGGTCGTTCTACGAAGATAAAGCCGAGGAAGTCATCATCGTCCTAAGAATAGGCAGGTATGACCGCCTAGAGGTAAAGGCGGAGTCTTGGGACGCCATAGTTAGTCGGGAAGCGGCGGCCGCACCCTCCTACGTAGACGAGGTCTTTAAACTATTTGAGGTGCTGTGGTTCGACTAAATGAGGACAAGGGATCGAACACCGCGAAAAGGCCTGAGTGTGGAGGGTGCCTGTGAATTGAGGTGTAACATAAGAAAGGGAGTGTGTACATTAGGCCGTAAGATGGTGCATAAAGGATCGAAATAAGGGGGGAGTGGCAGCAACCGGAAAAAGGGAAGGGGGTAGAATTGTACGTGCATGAGTCGTGGATAGCGGCAAGAAGCAGTGTACGATAAGTAGGGAGGGCTGAAAGACTAAAACACGAAAGGCATGGAATCTCGGTGGGTGCAACAATCGGACTAAGAAAGCAGGAAAGGAGACATTGCCAGATGGCCCGGCGAATGACGTTCTGGGAGGATAGACCTCGTGGTATCCTGCCACCAAGAATATAAGAAGGCAGGGTCGAAATAAGCCTGCCGGCAAGAAATGCGGTAAGCAATCCGGTAATGGACTGGGTGGGGGTAGAGTTGGTGGAAGATACGGTGTACCTAGTAGTGGAGCTGGAATGGCGTGCGAGAGGGGAGTTCGGGGGCGTAGACTTGAACCTCCTAGGGTGTGTACATGCGACGGGATCCTTACACCTGTCGGAAGAGGGATGGCGGACCTTTGGGATTGCTTTGGCTTCCGGGGATGACCCAGTGCGAATGTTCGAAGGGGCATGGCAAATAACCTGGCGGGAGGGGTTTGAGTTTGCAAACCCGGAACGAGATGACGTAACGGCGGAGGTAAAAGTCGCCGCGGCGGGGGTTTTCGAGTTGCCAAATGAGGTCATACGGATGAGTCTACCACCCTTCTTGCTAGGACGAATGGGAGGCATAGAACGAGTGGAGCAGGCGGTGACTGTCGTAACTAGGCTAAATTTTGACGAAGCATTAATGTATCAAGAATACTATCGGGCCTTCCTAGAGATGGGGCCTTTCGGGCACGAACAAGGGCGCGAGGTGCTTTGTATTCTACGAGCAGCGGTAAATACTAGGCTAGGAGTCCCACAAATAAGTGATGAGACCATGTAGAGAGTCATTCAGCGAGAGGTAGGTCGGGGCGCGACCTACATAGATGATCTCTACCGGCTGTACGAACAGCCAGAGGAGGCTACTACTCCCAGGGGTATGGAGCGATAGTTGGGACTAGAAAAGAGGAATGAAAACACGAAGGACAAGGAGGGCAGTAGGTGGGCGGTTTCTGGGGATTGGCTGTAACCCTGTCTATGTGGACTATGCAGGGAATTAACAAGGCAACGATGCCAACAAGACGTGAGCAAATGGAACGCCAGCCCCGTGTGCGAATGGAACGCCAGCCCCGGCACCCCGGACTGCCCTGGAACAACGGTGGACGATGGGAAGTATCCCTCCCGTCGAGTTCTACCTATCGGGGGTTCGACATAGAATGGCGGGCCGTGACTTTGGGAAGGGACGCCGCCTTCATGTTGGTAGAATGTCGGTGGACAGGGATGAGACTCAACCGAGGACCCGAAGACGATCTGTTTTCCAATCTGGAAGTTANCCTTCATGTTGGTAGAATGTCGGTGGACAGGGATGAGACTCAACCGAGGACCCGAAGACGATCTGTTTTCCAATCTGGAAGTTATCGGGACCATGCATCTGCCTGAGATCGGCTGGCACTCGTTGGGGGTAGAGATAGCACAAGGTCACGAGCTGGCACCGGTCTTTCGAAGGGCCGCCCGGACGTTGACCCGGATAGGACAATCGGTCAGGGGAAGAAGGAACGTGGGCTTACTTACCCGGGTGGAAATGGGAGGTTGGAGGGAGTTCAGGGCACCGACCACACCGCTGAGATGTCGAGTGCCCCGTTTTATGATAGACCTCGTCTTCGGAAGCCTCGCGAGGGCGCGGGAGCAGGCAGACTCAGCGATAGTCTGGGCTGGCCACTTTCCCTCCCCTACCATTGGGATGTTCTACGATGTCACTGTGGAGTATGGGCCATTCTGGGGAAACAGGGCCCACGAGTTACTAGAAGTCATCTACATCCTGATGTTTTGTACGCCCCGGCTAGACTGGACGGGGTGCGAACGCATAATCCAAAGGGAAATCGAGATAGGGGAAAATTATCTAACTATTTGAGGAGCCTACCGAACCGGAAGGGCCACGAAGGCGAGAACAGAACTAGCACCCGCAGGCGAGCCAGTAGGGCAAAATCAAGCACAGTCCGCTACGTTCGAAGGCCAGCGACAGAAATAGGAAAGGGGGGGGACCTCGGACCCGGATGATCAATAACCACCAGACAGGGAACACCGCGCAGGAAAACTTTTTCTAGCGGGTTGCCCAACCCGGACCCCTACGCACCGACCAACGGAATAAGGGCGCTCTAAACGAGCCGGTGATAAGGGAAGCTAAGTCACGCCCTTGGCTCGGTGAGGCAGCAGAGCCGGACGCGGCTCCATATTAAGGAAGCCATCAGAAAATGGGAATGGGGAAAAGCCTAATTACCAAGTAAAAGGATAAACCAATAGGATTGGGACCTAGGGAACCTAAATGCCTCGCACTGCGTTTGTTCTGGGGAATCCTTTGGTTATGCAGAGGTAGGCAAGTATGGCAGCGGAGGATGAGACGGGTAATCATGAAAGCGAGGGAGGACCAGGCTTAGGAGGCAGTGCTGAGCAAAGCAAGGAAGGGCAGAAGGACGGAGAATCAGCAAATCCGGATGGCACCCAAGGGAACCGGAAAAAATGTTCTCAGGAGAGAGCTCGGGAAAAGCCGGGGGAAGCAGACAGGGGACCCAGGAAAACAAGGAGGGCAGGAATAAGGATAGGGGGAGCCCCGAGAACTCGGAGGGAGCTGTGTCTAAGAAAGTAAGGGTCATGGACGCGAGGCGCAAACTAGCAGAAATAGAGAAAAAGACCGAGGAATACAAGGCAAGGTTAATTGAGGCAATGATGATTGGGAACAAGGAAGGCCCTCTGCAGGAGGTACCGCGGGACGAACGGAAAACCAGCCGGGGAGGAACTGGGCAAGGGGACAAGGGTAGTGACCGTGGGGGAACTCTCCGGGAATGGAAGCAGAGAAGGCGACGAACCCCTTAGCCACAAACAGTAGGGCTAGCCGTCTGTCGGCCTCGCCAGCGACATCGCGAGGATGTGACGGGCTCTGGAGCCTCAGAGAAAGGGTGTTGGGATGGTTCGACCCGGAAGGAACGACGAAGGCTAGAGGGGGGCAGAAAGCCAGCAAAGAAGGGCCAGATACCGGCATGACAGGCGAGGCCAGTAGCTCCGAAGGCGGCCTTAGGAAGATAGTATCGTCCCTTGTACGAGCACTGAACAAGAACCAAGGCTATCTGGCAGACGCCAAGAAAAAGCTGACTTTCGATGGAGCAAACATCACGGAGTTCCTGATCGACTACGAGAACCTAGCTGCGTTACTAAAGTGGACCTAGGAGGAAAAGATGGACCATCTAGGACAGCATGTGTCGTTAAGCCTAGGACGGGACATAATGGCCATTGTAGCCGCAAGCCGGTCTTGGAAGGAGAACCTGGATGTGATGATGAGGAAGTACCTAGCGGCAGAGAAAATGGCAACGGAGGCCGACCTAGCGGCAGTTCAGAGGAAGAACTTCGCAACGTACAATGATTTCCTACGGGAATTTACTCTAGTAGCACTAAGGATCCCCGGGATCACGGACCGGATAATGAGCAAATATTTCCTCAGGCAGTTCTCCGAGCTCGACAAAGACAAGATCCTGTCAGCTTACCAACAGACGAGCAAGTTCGTAAACACGCGGGATGTTGATTTTAGCACGGTAACGGATCTGGCTGAGAAAACGGTAGTAACAAAAACGTTGGCCTTGCTCAAGGAAGGAAAGATCATAGATTTGACCAGTAGGACGGGCGACAAGGTAAAAAATGGGATTGAAAGTCTACATGAACAGGTGCACGGGGTCGACAATAAAATTGAAAGGATGGAAGGCGCGTTACTGGTTATGCAGGCGCAAGTATCCCGACCTGCCCTCCTTCCCCAGGAAGCTGTGGTTCCGCCAGGTGTAGCCAACCGTGGATTCGGACGGAGAGATCCTGCTAACGAGCAATGCAAGTATTGTACCACGATAGGACATTATGTGCGCGCGTGCCCAAAACTCAACCATGATATTCTGAAAAGAAGGTGTACCAGGTCATTAAAGGGGGAAATATTTGGACCACAAGGGGAACGGGTGAACTGGAACTCGCCAGGAGGGATGCGGCGAGCCATTATCATGCTCAACTGGTTAGAAATAACAGCCGTAGAGGCCGCACCGATGGGGGAGATCATCTGGGATCAACTCCAGGGGCGCGGGCCACAGGTCAACTTCATTCTGGAAAGCGACGGACGGGATAGGGTAAACGCGACTACTCGACTAGGAACGGCAGGGAGAAGGATTATCCGTGACGCCGTAATGGAGGAGGTTGCTGGAAGTTTGGAACCTCAGGCAGAGCCTGAGGCCGAGGAACCGGAAAAGGTCTATGGGAAGCCCAGGGAAGAGGAGCCTATGGACAAGGTTACCGCCGCTAAAAAGAAGTTTCGGTATCAAATCCCGATCTTAACCTTGCCTGAGCTCGACGACACCATTAGCAAGTTACTAGGAACCATGGTGTCGGTGTCTTTTCAGACCATGCTGCAGGCTAGCCCTAGGTTGCTCAAAGGGCTCACACAGCTGTTGACTCGGAGGCGAATAGAAATAGTCGACAACCCCGAGTAACCAGAAGGGGAGAGGGAGGAGGAAGCTCCACAAGAAGTGGCTAACCTTCAGAGGAGTCACGAGGAATTGGAGGATCTCTAAAAAGCCATGGCAGACATTCGTTTGAGCTTGCCCGACCGAGAGGGCGGCGAAGTCATGAGATCACCACCCGAGACGAAGCTTAGCTTTCATGCGCTGCCCGTAGGGAAACTGAAAATCCAGATCGGAAGTCATCATACCGACGCATTAGTAGACGGGGGAGCAGAAATTACTCTCATAAGAAGAGATTTCGCAACGATCACAGGATGTACGGTAAACAAGGAAGTAACAGGGAGCATCCGGGGAGCTGGCGGGGAAATCCCGTTCGCTGGGTACGTCACGAAGTGTGCTGTGAAGGCAGGGGTCAGGGAATCAATCTGGTCGTTTCAGCGGATGACCGTACTGGAGGAAATGGACCGCGACATAATCCTCGGGAGACCGTGGTGCGCAAACGTGGAGATGATAGGCATGCACTTGCACGATGGCTCATACATGGTAGACATAGAGGACCCTGTGACCGACCGAGGAGAGCTCCTCCGACTCCTTGGAACGGGAGGAGACCCCCCAAGGGGAAATTGGCAACATGGTCGCCGTCGTTCGAGGATAGCACGCGAAAAGGGGCTTTCGCACGGATGGAGGGTACGAGAGAAAGGGTAGAAATCATGATTGAGGAAGCATTCAACCAGAAGGAGTGGATCAAGATGCACCTGCCCCAGAAGAAGAGGAGGCAGGAGGATGAAGTCGTAGGTGTCATGGTAGTGGAAAAGAAGTCAAAGGTCGAACTTAGTGCTAGCCTGCCCAAACGGAAAGAAGTACGCATAAACGTGCCAAAAATTGCACTCTAGATCCCCGATCTATTACAGCTCATCAAGGCCCTCCGATACCACAAGGTAGGAGTGGATTCGGCAGCCTTGGCCAAGTTCGAGAGAGAGGTGCAAAAGGGGTATTGCCTGAATGGGAAACTAGTTAGTATTCAACCACGAGTGGTAGAGGCGACGGGGGCGATTCCGACTGTTCATTTTTTAGGAGAAAGATCCCGGAAGGAAGTGTTCGAAAGTACAAGCCGGTAGGGAAGAAAGCAAAACCGGTCTCGATCCTGCTAGAGACATCAAAGGAAGAGGCTATGGAGAAGGAGGAAGAGGTCCTTCGAGTGATCCGAGAAAGAAGGACGACAGAGGGACATCAGATACCAGATGAGGTAGCTGACACAATGAAGATAGGGATAGACGGGTTCTTAACGGAAGAAGAAACCCGCCTCATCAAAAGGACCTGCCAGGAGTTTCACCTGGCATTTGCCTTTAGTGATCACCAGAAGTCCGATCAGAATCCACACGGTAGAACATGAGTGCTGGAATGACAAGGGGCCATCCTATGAATTTGGGATAGCAGGAGAAGTAACAGACCTCCTCCGAGCAAAGATGGACTCCTTCGTTGCGGAGCCTACGGAATCGCCATACGCAAATCCGTGGTTCGTCTTTCGGAAGCCTAACAAAACACTAAGGTGGATTCAGGACCTGCAGAAGCTGAATGTGGTAACCATCCGGGATGCTGGCTCGCTACCTCAGGCTGACTTATTAGCAGAATCGCACGCCGGTCGGAGCATTTACTCCTTGATAGATTTGTACTCAGGGTACGACCAGCTTCCGTTGGATATGCACACCCCCGTAGGCCAACTATAGATGCAAGTGACCCCTTATGGGATTCACAAACGCGGTGGCCGAAGCACAACGCAGGATGCTCGCCGTGGCCGGGGACATGTTCCCAGAAAAATGCGAGCCTTACATCGATGACAATCCGATCAAAGGCGCGCAGGAGAAGGACGAGACGGAAGTCCAGCCAGGGATCCGACGTTTTGTGTGGGACCACCTGCAGGACATCAAGAACTTACTCCGCAGGTTCCTAATATACAACATTACGGCTAGTGGACCAAAGAGTATCCTAGCAGTACCGGAGGTAACTATACTAGGATTTCGTTGCGGTGCTTACGGTAGGAAGCCGGATCCAGCAAAGACCGACAAGATATCACAGTGGCCTACACCACTGCGCACGACGACGGAGGTAAGGGCATTCCTAGGCCTAGTCGGCTTTTGGAGGATCTTCATTAAGAACTTTGCCGAGATTGCTGAGAGCCTATCCGGGCTATGATCAGGGAAGAAGGAACCATGGATTGGACGGAGGAGCGAGAAGGAGCTGTCCAAAGGCTCAAGGATATATTAACATCTGAGACAGTCGCCCTGTCCGCGCCTTGTTTTAATGATGAGGTAGGACGACCATTCATCCTGGAAACAGATGGAGGGCCCTTGGCCGTAGGAGGCGTACTGATTCAAAGGGACGAGGGAGGAAAAGGGAGGCCAATTAGGTTCGAAAGTAGAACCCTAAACTCCGCAGAACGGCGGTACTCGCGATTCAAGAAGGAAGTCCTAGCCATTCTACATTGCCTTAAGACCTTCCAGGCCTACCTATTTGGGAGGCGGTTCATCTTAAGGATCGATCCGACGAATGTCGCAGGGGCTCTAAAGAATTACAAGCCTATAGATCTGACGGTAGGGAGATGGGTAGGATTCATCTGGCAGTTCGATTACAAGATCGAACGGATTGCTGGAATCCGCAACAAGGCAGATGGGCTGAGTCGGGTTTGCATCACTCCCGAAGGGATGGAGGATGCAGAGCCCATAGACGCGTTCCTCGAATACGAAGGAGGGACTCTCGCGGTGGATAACGAAATGATGAGCGGGGAATGCACATCGGGAGAACTATTGATCCAAACTTTGGAGAAGGGGGCACCTGCCGTAGTAGCAGAACTTAGAGAAGGACCATTTACCACTCGAGGACGCAGAGAAGAAAAGGACTCATGGGGAGCGATAGTATGACCGAAAGAGGAACTAATAGCAATGGCAGTCGAGGGAGGCCGGGAAGCAGTGATGAGCTTAGTGGAATCTTGGGAAAGGAAAGAGTTGCAATGGGTGGTAAACCAGATGCAGGAAGGAAAGGATGGGGGCAAGGAAGGAGAGGAGTTTTTCTATGTCCAATCATACGAAGGGCTCTTTCGGGAGATCGAGCCGTTATTGGTAGGAAACAAACAACCTACGAAAGTCAGTATTAAAGCAAGAGAAGAAGCCGAAAGGTACGTCCTAAGGGGCGAACATTTGTTCCGAAGGGAGGAAGGTGCTATGCCCAGAAGGGTTGTGTGCGGAAGTTCTAGGCAAGTAGACGTTATCCAGGCAATGCACGATGGGTTGCCTGGAGGTCATCGGTCGTCCAAAGGAACGCTTGCAAAGATGACGCCACTCTATTATTGGCATAGGCATGGCAGCCATGGTCGCCATATACTGCCAGACTTGCCTTATTTGCCAAGAACGAAGCTCGGTGCGGGTCTTCGAGCCGCTTAGACCAACGCGGGTGCTAGGGCCGAGGCATCTGGTCCACCTCGACCTTGCAGTCATGCCTGTATCAACGAATGGGTACAGGTATATCCTGGATGCCCGAGACAACCTGAGTGGGTTCGTGGAGGCAGTCGCCCTCAAGAAAAAGACAGGGAGGAGTGTGGCGGACTTGTAGCGGACCTCGGGTTGGCCTGTGAGACCAGCCCCTTGGCCTGTTCTCACAGGCCTGTGTTATATTCGGGGTAGGCCAGTCCAGGCCGGTACCTCTGTCGATACCAGCCAGTCCAGTCCAGTCCCGTCAGTCCGCTGGGGTATACCCCAGCCATTGTCTGTTTTCAGTCTCATTCCTCACTTGCACATTTTGGAGTACGTGCGTTGGAGTCTTGCGTGGGGAGCTGCGTTGTGCCAT